TCAAATTTAGAACCTAGAGAGGAGTTATTTTTGTACTTAGCAGTCTCAGAACACGCAGTAAGCGCAGTGGTAATCCGAGAAGAAAAAGGGGAGCAAAGGGCTGTTTACTATGTAAGCAAAACCCTGGCCGATGCAGAAATAAGGTATCTACCCTTAAAAAAATTGGCACTGGCTTTAGTAATGTCTTCAAAGAAACTGAACCATTACTTCCAGGCCCATAAAATTTTGGTGCTAACAGAACACCCCTTGAAGGCTTTGCTATAACAAGGAGACCTGACAGGAAGAATAGCCAAATGGGTAGTGGCCTTGGGATAGTATGACTTGGAGTATAGACTGTGACGATCTAGAAATTTTCCTTTCGCTCGAGCGGGTCGCTTGGTTGAGTTTGAATTTTTGAGGCACGTGGATTCGTTTGTGGCATTTTATTAGTATGCTTGGAACCTCCTTAGTTTTATTTTGGGGCATCGATTGAGGTGGTAACATGATGGTAAAGTAAGATTGGACCAAAAACTTTAATTCGAACACTTCACCTACGATTAACAGTCACTCTTTTGCCTTTTTCTTTTTCCACACTTTGAATTTAGATGTGAGGCTAGAACCATTGGAAAGCTTATTTCCGGGCTTCAATTTGGACATAAGAACGACTTAAAACGGAGTCCGAATGAGAGAGTTATACCCGTTTGAAGTTTTCACATCTGTACTAGAAGCAGGTCCGTACGTGCGGGGATAGCGGTGCACGTGCGGGACTGTGCGGGACAGCAGCTCAAAAACGTGATTTTTGGACCATTTCTTACATTTTCTTTTTCTCTCTTCTTCTCCCTCCTCCATGTCCGAAACCCTAGCCCCCAAAACCTTGATTTCCTCCACTTTTATCAACAATCCACCATGGTTCTTGCATCAAGGATGGGGAACAAGAGAAGATCAACATTTTCTACCGATTGGATTTCGAAATTTTGGAGGAACCTCTTGGAAATACCATGTATTTATAGGCAACTACAATAGACCCGAATAGGTGCAATATGGAAATGAGTAGGTGCCCAATTGTTTTGAATATATTTGATTCAAATGAACAGGTGCACTTCTTAAGTCAAACAATTTTGACCGTTGCTGAGACCAAATTTTCAAACAAATTAAAAAATGATCCGTTGGTTGTAACAGTTTCAAAACTATTGGAATGCTTTTATTAAACTATTTAAATAGTTTAATCAATTTTAGGAAACCACTTAAGGAAACCAAAAATAAATTTATTTAAAATTAGATTCCCACAATAATTTTTATTGAAAAAATTCAAACGAATTTTGTCTAAAAAATCAATGTTAAACCCGAACACGATGTCAACTTTTCATTCACTCATAAATGGTTTTGACGGTCCGTCTTCACCGTGCGACTTGCCACGCGGCAAAGAACACATCACCTCTTCAGACCCACCCCAAAAGATGTTTGGGGCCCACTCAATTTTGGCCTCAAAGTTGGCCCAAAATAAGCCATATAAAACACCATTTTTTTCAACAATCCCCCACATGAATGGAATTTGACGGAGAAAAAATGCAACAATATGATCTAAATACAGAGAGTATAGAAATTGGAAATATTCTGCAAAGGATAGGTAGCTTTTGGCTTTCAAGGGAGCTTGGCCTTCACCCAGACGATATGGAGCAATCCAATAGCCCAATGGTTGGATTCAATGGAACGCTGACATGGCCACTAGGAACAGCCAACTTGGAGGTGCAGGCAGGCACCAGGAAGATAACAACAGAGTTCACCATAATTGACACACCCTCCCTTACAACATCATTTTGGGAGAGAATGGTTGCATGCAATGAGGGTTGTTCCCTCAACTTTGTATCAACTATTGCGGTTCCCAATAGAGCATGGGATTGAGGAGGTCAGAGGAGATCAGCTGCAGGCAAAGAATTGTTCCATGGCAGCAATGAACCACCTGCAGCATAAGAGAACCAGAGAAGGCAGAGATCGAAGACGAAGACATGGAGGTCTTAGAGGATGTTGGCAATGAGCCAGCCGAGAAGTGTGAAGAAGCACTGAAGAAAATCCTCGTCCAGGAATGGGATGAAGAACGCTTCTTCCTTCTCGGCTCGGGCTTAGCCGAAGAAGAAGAAAAAGAGTTTGAAGCTTTTTAAGAGCAAATATTGAGGTGTTTGCTTGGACACATTATGAGATGCCTGGCATTGACCCCGAGGTCACTTGCATAAACTGAATGTTGATAGGTCGACAAAACCAGTGATCTAACGAGCAAGAAGACCGACGTTGATACACGTCGAAGCAGTGGATGAGGAAGTAGACAGACTTTCTGAGGCCAGGGCCATTCAAGAGGTAGATTACCCGACATGGTTATCAATCACAGTAATAGTGAAGAAGAAGAATGGTAAATGGAGGGTCTGCATGGACTTTACAGTTTGAACAAGGCCTGTCCCAAAGACAGTTTTCCTCTTCCAAGATTGACCAGCTGGTAGATGCCACTTCGGGGCATTGAAGGATGAGCTTCGTGGATGCTACAGGGGATATCATCAGATAGCCATGTATCCCCCAGATGAGGAGAAGACTGTATTTATTACCCCAAAAGGTCTGTACTGCTACAGAGTGATGCCTTTTGGGTTAAAAAACGCAGGAGCAACTTACCAAAGATTGGTAACCAAGATGTTCAAACACCTGATTAGCAGAACGTGGAAGTTTACATCGATGACATGGTCGTGAAGACCAAGGAACCTAAAGGTTATCTGGCTAACCTGAAAGCAGTCTTTGACATCCTTAAAACATATGACTCCGACTAATGCAGCAAAGCATGCATTTGGAGTAGGATCTGGTAAGTTTTTAGGATATCTGGTGACTAGAAGGGGCATTGAGGCCAGCCTAGATCAGATTAAGGCCATCTTGGAATTGAAGAGCCGACATCAGAAAAACAGGTACAAATGTTGACTAGAAGGGCTCAGCCCTGAATAGGTTCATAGGCAGAAGCTCAGACAAGTGTAAACCTTTCTTCAACTTAGTGAAAAAAGCCACAGATTTTTTATGGACAGAAGAATGCGAGGCCGCCCTGGCCGACCTGAAGAAGTATTTGACCACAGCTTCAGTTCTTTCAAATTTAGAACCTAGAGAGGAGTTATTTTTGTACTTAGCAGTCTCAGAACACGCATAAAGCGCAGTGGTAATCCGAGAAGAAAAAGGGAGCAAAGGGCAGTTTACTATGTAAGCAAAACCCTGGCCGATGCAGAAATAAGGTATCTACCCTTAAAAAAATTGGCACTGGCTTTAGTAATGTCTTCAAAGAAACTGAACCATTACTTCCAGGCCCATAAAATTGGTGCTAACAGAACACCCTTGAAGGCTTTGCTATAACAAGGAGACCTGACAGGAAGAATAGCCAAATGGGTAGTGGCCGGGAAAGTATGACTTGGAGTATAGACTGTGACGATCTAGAAATTTTCCTTTCGCTCGAGCGGGTCGCTTGGTTGAGTTTGAATTTTTGAGGCACGTGGATTCGTTTGTGGCATTTTATTAGTATGCTTGGAACCTCCTTAGTTTTATTTTGGGGCATCGATTGAGGTGGTAACATGATGGTAAAGTAAGATTGGACCAAAAACTTTAATTCGAACACTTCCCTACGATATAACAGTCACTCTTTTGCCTTTTTCTTTTCCACACTTTGAATTTAGATGTGAGGCTAGAACATTGGAAAGCTTATTTCCGGGCTTCAATTTGGACATAAGAACGACTTAAAACGGAGTCCGAATGAGAGAGTTATACCCTTTGAAGTTTTCACATCTGTACTGAAGCAGGTCCGTACGTGCGGGGATAGCGGTGCACGTGCGGGACTGTGCGGGACAGCAGCTCAAAAACGTGATTTTTGACCATTTCTTACATTTTCTTTTTCTCTCTTCTTCTCCCTCCTCCATGTCCGAACCCTAGCCCCAAAACCTTGATTTCCTCCACTTTTATCAACAATCCACCATGGTTCTTGCATCAAGGATGGGGACAAGAGAAGATCAACATTTTCTACCGATTGGATTTCAAATTTTGGAGGAATCTCACCAAGCTTGCTCCCTTGTTTGATTCTTGAGGTAGGGTTTTATTATTGGGTTTAGATTATGGTTTATGGATGATGGACCAAAGGTGTATAATAAATGGAAAGATTGGAACAAAAAGTAATAGGTTAAGAAATTTGGATTGTTCTTGAAATTTTTAGATTTTTCTTGAAACCCTAGGTTGATTTTTGATGATAATCAATGATTTAGCCCAAATTGAGAGTTGAATCATGAAATTGGTAGGTTGAATTATATATGTACAAGTTTAATTAGAATTTGGTTATGTTTGAAAATTATGTTTAAAATTTGCGAATGAACTTTGTTATGAACAATGTAAATCATGTTATAATGAGAAAGGAAATTGGGAGAAATGATTTGTTAATGATATAAATGACATAAACTCGGTTATGGAATGTAGAAATGAGATTTAAGAATTCCTCTTGAATTATGTTGAATTAAATTTAATGATGTTGAGTTGAATCATGTTGTTTATGTTGAATTGTGGTGATTATGTGAGATGGTATTGACTATGTTGATTTTAATTTTTGTGACTAAAATAAATGTGGTGTTTCCGAAATGGGTTTAATCCCAAATTATTTTGCTAAATACTTGTGGGCTTGCTTAGTTATTAAAATCAAGAGAATGATTTAATGGAGTTTTTATGGAGATAGGAAATGTTTGGTTTTTGGTGAAAACCCTAGACATTCAGGGATTTTGGAAAAATGTGGAAGATGTCCATACAATTCCTTTCTATCTTGAAATCGAAGTGATTGATTTT